TTAAATAGGGAAGGAACATGGAGAAATTAACTTCACCCTCAGATTGTATTTGATTGGTTTCAGTCTATCTATGAGTAGTAGATTGTGATAGATCCTTTGACAGAATTTTAGAATATTATCTGTTACATAACATCTTGGGTTCTCAAAATATAGTTGAAATCATTTATAAATGTGAGTGTCAAGGGTCTAATTGTTCAGTTTATTGAGGTGGATATTAAAAATTTGAAGTCTATGTTAATGAAATTTAAAGTGAAAATTTTATTTTGGAATCCAGGAATATATAGAAATTAACTGTATTCCATTGTTTGACTTGAGAGCTTTAGTAGAGATTGTGTAAATTTATGAACTGGACTCACGTTTCAGAATCATTCAGTAATGATTAGTGTCCGTTATGCAAATGAATCCAAAGTTGTACGTTAAGTGTGCTAGTTCTCTTTATTGTTGTGTTACCTCCTCACATGTTTTTTCAAAAATGGATCCCAGTGGTTAAAAAGAACAGGCATTAGGATGGCACTTTCCTACAATTACTAGGAGAAAAATTGCAAATAATGTGTCTTAATTATAAGGATCTGTATGTAAGACATTTATCTTTAGGTGTTTGACAACAGTGAGCTGATTTGCAGTGCTTTTAAAGTGCAGAAGATAATCTTGATTGTTGAAAGTAGAAAACAATAAGTGGTTTTAATACTGTTCTAAGAATTGGAATCAGATTTTTCTTAGTAATCTCTTAGAATTGCCCAGCTTCTTGATTGAATAATAATGAGCCCCCAAAGTAGATTATATATGTTTAAAATACGTAACCAACAAAAACATATTGTATAGCATAGGGAAGAACTGTGCTTAATATTTTGTAATAGCTTAAATGGGAAAAGATTTGAAAAAGATACCTGTATAACTGAGCCACTTGGTTGTATAACTGAGCCACTTGGTTGTATACCTGAAACTAACACAACATTGTAAATCAACTATAGTCCCATATAAAATAAAAAACCCTTCCCACAAACGCCACCCCATAAAATAAATTGGGACAAGCAAAAAAAATGATAGTAAACCATAAACTTAGGTGAAGAAAGGATGTACATTCACAGTATGAAGTCTGTATTTGACAATGATAACTTCTTGGTACTGTCATAGTAATTGCAAATCCATGGCTTGTGAAAAGCCACAAAATTACCACTGTCACCCTCCAGAATGGTGGTTTATTTGTAATCTTACCTAATCCTTGATTATGGGAGGTCATAATTTTTCTAGCTTATTTGTATTAGAAAAGGAAACTTTTTGGAGTTTGCACACAGCTTGCAGAGTCTTAGTTCCCTAAGCAGGGATTGAGCCTGGGCCCTGACAGTGAAAGCATCAGATCCTAACCACTGGACAGGGGAAATTCTCTAGAAACTTAGTTTCCAGGATACTTCTGTGGTTGCTAGGAGGGGATTGTTAAATGCACTTGGAGTTTTTTTGAAAGCAGTTGAATATCATCACCAAATGGAGTCATAAAACAATACTTAAAATACACAATTTAGAGACTTCCTTGGTGGTCCAGTGGTTAAGAATCTGCCTTGCAATGCAGGGACACAGATTTGATAGCTAAATTGGGGAACCAAGATCCCACATTGCCACAGAGCAACTGAGCCCACGTGCCTAAACTGCTGAATCCAGGGCCCACAACTAGAGAGTCCCCGCACCACAATCATCAAAGGTCTTGTATGATGCAACTAATACCCGAGGCAGCCAAACATAATATTTTAAAAACAGAATTTCACTGGTTAATGTCAGTATACAGTGATTTTATGTTTACATTTGGTGATGATACTCAACTTTCAAAGTCAACGAGTGGCTCTTTTCACCCCTGTGATAACTGGTAAAGATGCTCATCACATTTACCTCAGTTGCTGCAGCAATCTTCTAATTTGGAAATCTTGACCTTTAAATTTCTTTTTTTAATTGCCTTCAGTGAAATGTTTTTCAATTGAAAAAAAATTTTAAACTAAAATTGATTTCTTGTTGCCTAAATCTTAGGATGAACTACAGGAATTTTCTATGAGCTGTGTTTTTGTTTTTTGTTTTTTAAATCGTTTGCCTTATCCTACTCCTTGTTCATTTATCTGTCCTAAAATCTTATACCTTAGCGAAAAATCAGAAAATTTCCTCTTGTCCTTATTCTTTCAGGCTGGCAACTCCTGTTTATGTGTCATGCTTTGCTAGAGTAAAATGTTTAGTAATTAGCATTATGTGTTGTGTAGGACATAACATACTATGGACAGACCATTACATACTTGGTAGAATGTTAACATTGTATCCTGCCACATTACTTAAGGTAATTACAATAATTGGAGTTCTCCTCATCACCTAAAATTGAGGTTTGTGTCAGAAGACTAATGGGGTTTGTAACTGGGCAGTTCACAAGATTAAGTACCTAGCTTTCTAGCCTTTGTTCAAACTAGCCCTCAACCTCCATTTATTCACTGGGAAAGTATTCCTAGCATTGGGTTTAAAGTTGAATCAAAATTTCTTGCTCTTGAGAATACAGTACCTAGTGTGATGATTAACAATAATGTACTATTAATGATTCTGGGAAAATAGATAATAAAACCAAAGGTGACAAGTTTTCCCATTAACCTGCAAGTCGCGGGATGGGGACAGATCATCAACCTGCCTGGTACTGATGCCTGTGTGAGTAAAAGTAAGAGCTGGGTAGCATCTGACAGGCTGGAAAAAGAGATTCTAAAATGTGCCTGCTAAAACAGGGGCTTTGTCCTCTCCAGTAGTGAGCACAAGGCACCCACAGTAAAGACTGGAGCCCTTGACCTCGGTGAGCTCTTAAAGTAGACCTGTCAAGACAAGACTTCCTTTTATGGACAGGACCCCACAGTGAGGAAAGGACTGAAAGGAAATCTTAATGGGCAGAGTAGAGACAGGAGATGAAAAGGGCCTAGATTCAACTGGGAGAGGGGAACACAGCCAGGAAGATCTTAGAAAGCATGCCACTGTATTTTCAAACACCACTAAATGACAGAAAAGATAGAAAAGATTTACTGAATCCTGCATCATTCTCAAAGTTCAGGACAGTAATTTCACTTAAAGGTAATAGAAAAATGATGTCGCATCGCATAAAAGATTAGCAAGGTGTGGTATGTATGACTTTTGGTACACATAAAGTGGAGGAAGGATCTCTGAAGAGTTAGAGGAAAGTTGTCAGCAAGGCATTCATGGAAGGTGTAGCATTTGACCTGGGCCCATCTTGCACTTGGATCAGTTGAGTTCTATTAATAGTGCAGCCTGAAGGAGGTGTTAGTACTACTGGTTTTCCTTCTCATTCTTTCAAGGGATATTTTGCCTTTTGGCCCTATTGTGTGCTGTTTGATACCTGATTGGAAAGAGGAAGTTACAAGATCATGATTTATTTGCGAAGGCAAAAGGGAAGGATAAGGAAGCTGAGAAAATTTAATGTAGGGTCGCTGATCCATTTGTTTTCTGTTAGATTTGTCCAGCAGCCCTTTCCTGCTCCCTTAATCCTTTTCTAGCTTATACTACTGGGCCTATGACTTTAAGCACTATTGTTCTGCCAGTTTCTTAGTGTCAAATCATTCTTGGTGTCTGTTTTCTCTTAAGCATATAGAATTATTTTACTCAACAAACTCTTAATTGAATGCTCATCAAATATACCAGGTATTCTCTAAAATGCTGGAGATGCAGCATGGGTCAACACAGAGTTCTTGTTGTGGAGTTTAGTTTGGCAGTAGGTGTACTCAGTACATGGTCTGAGTACTGTAAAGAAAAATAAATCATGGAAAGTGAATGGAGATATGCTATTTATATGGTGTTCAGAGAAACCTCCTCAGGTCTCCACTAGAATGTAAGTTCCAGGAGGGTAAGGATCTTAGCTACCTTGCTAATTGCTTTCTCTGTGGTCAGAATGATGCCTTGCACATAATAGACATCCAGTGTTAGCTGAATGAATACATGTTGTGGACACAGAGAAATTTGTTGAAAAATTCTCCCACTTAAAAATTGTGTTGGTCAGCAGGAGATGATCTTAGATTATTATGTCACTCCAGTGCATTTCATGCTGAAATATGAAAAGCAGGAGCTGTAGTTTTTTATGAAGCCCAGTAACTTAAGATCAGAACTGAAAAATGAGATATCAACTGCCAGGACTTGGTCATCGCTTAACCATCGTCGGCTAGACCAGGTCAGCCGACGAGATATCAAATATATTTGATAGCCTAGATAACCTGGAGCATTTCATGAATGCTGCAGATTTCTCGATGACAGTGTTTAAGCACCTGCTAGTCCCTTAAACAGGTCTTCCCTGGTGGTTCAGACGGTAAAGCATCTGCCTTCAATGCGGGAGACCTGGGTTCGATCCCTGGGTCCGATCCCTGGGTCGGAAAGATCCCCTGGAGAAGGAAATGGCAACCCACACCAGTACTGGAATTGCCTGGAAAATCCCACGGATGGAGAAACCTGGTAGGGCACAGTCCATGGGATCGCAAAGAGTCGAACATGACTGAGCAACTTCACTGGTTCACTAGTCCCATAAACAATAGATGTTCGCTGAATGGACGAATGATTAAACAATAAATCGCGACACTCCACGACAAGCGTACTTGGGAGAGGGGTCTGTATGTAGAGGACGACACACTTTCTCTGCGATGATCTGTACGGGGCACGAACTCGGGATCGTGAGCCTGGCCCAGAGGCCGTAAGATTCCATAACGCCAGGCTTCCTACGCAGGTATGGGACGGCGCGGGGGAAACCTAGAGGCACGTTCTGAGCATGCGTCGCCATTTTGTGCGATCTGCCACGCCCACCCGTTGACTAAGCTTCCATTGGCTGCCCCGCTGAAGGCCCGCCTTCTTGAAGGAAACGGACATTCTGTGGGTCTAAATAACCTTCCGTAACCAATCACAAGCAGCGATCTAAAGGTTTGTCCAATGACATCGGGCTTGGGTCAAGGCCCGCGGAGTTTAATTTTCGTCCTGGGACGCGGAAGTAGCGGTCAGATCTAAGCCACAGGCTGAGTGTCGCACTGGAGGAAGGCCGAGTCTTCATCCCGGTTACCCCGGCTGGGTGAGGGGCTTCGGGGACAATTCCTGGGCCAGTGGAGGTGTCGTTTCCGCCCGTGGCAGACAAATCGGGGCGCGAGGGCGGGCACGTGTGGACCTCTAAGCGCTCCTGGATCAGGACGAGAGCGCGCCTGGCCTCGTCCTCTGCGGATTCCGCCGCGAGGTTCCTTAAAGACTGCAGCTTGAAGTTCCCGCGGTTGCCGGGAGGCTGGGCTTCGGAGGAAGGTGAGCCGGGCGACGGTGCTCCCCGAGTGGGAGAGACCCCGAGGCGGCTTGGGGCCAAAGGGAGTGACGTAAGCCGGAGCTAGTCTCGGTCTGTCACTTAGTAGTTGGGTGACCAAGTCTCGTCACCTGTCTGGGCTTCAAACTCCTTATCTTTAGGATGAGCGAGGAGGGATGGGTGGTGCTCCGATAGTCAGGAGGGAAGTGTTATCATTCCTTTTGTTTGGTCAAAGTCTCTAGTCGGCCGCCTGCCTGCCCTCAAGGAAGGGCTGATCTCATCCCTGCGTAGTCTCAGCCGTAGCTTTCGGAGGGAGGCGAAGCTTTCGGCTCTCGCTGTTGCAACTAAATTGAAGGCTTCCTGCTAAGTTTCCAGCCTATCCTTGATTGATATTAACTAGGTGGCGCGGTGGTAAAGAATCCGCCTGCTGATACAGGAGATGAGAGTTCGATCCCTGGGCTGGGAAGATCCCCTAAAGGAGCCTATGGCAACCCACTCCAGTATTCTTACCTGGAAAATTCCATGGACGGAGGAGCCTAGTGGGCTACAGTCCACGGGATCTCAAAGAGTTGGACACGACTGAGCAGCTGAGCGCTGCGTCCCTTAAGAGGTTCAAAAAATCCCATGAATTTTTAATGCAACTTAACTGATAAATTGAAGTTTTTTGCTTTTGTTTTTTAACCCAGCCTTTCCCCATTCCCCCATTCCTTTTTCTCTCCTCACCTCAAAATAATGCTGGCCAGAAAGATTAGTTTCGTTGATGGTGTAATGTGTAACGAAGGCTTTTTTGTTTGTGTGTGCAGCAGTTATTTATCAAGAGTAATGTTTTCTTATTTTTTTCCCCTTAAGGTATCAAGAAACAATGTTTCTTTGAATTTGCTTCTGTATTTGCTTCATCAATGTCATTCATTTTGAGTATCTTACGAGAGATGCTGGAATATTTTGGTGTTCCCATAAACCAGGTAAATGGTTTTAAATGGATTTGAATGAACCTGTTATATTTGGAGTCTTATTTTGGAAACGATTTTTATGTCAACATTCAAGGCAAAATTCTTATTTCTGTATAAGATGTAACAAAGGCAAGTTCGCAGTAGTGTAGCTTTGATAATTTGAGTTAAAAAAAGGATATGATTATTAGGAACCTATTTACTTGAAGGGTCAAAAGCTGATGAAAGATCGAAACCAAGCAAAAGATAGACATGACGAAGTGAAAGACAGACATGACCCTCGTAGATAAAATATTTTAAAAATTCTAGTGGTTGTATTTAAGGTAATTTGAACCTGAAACTAATGCAACATTGTCAGTCAGTCAGTCAGTCAGTCAGTTCAGTCACTTAGTCGTGTCCGACTCTTTTCGACCCCATGAACTGCAGCATGCCAGGCCTCCCTGTCCATCACCAACTCCCGGAATCCACCCAGACCCATGTCTATTGAGTCGGTGATGCCATCCAACCATCTCATCCTCTGTTGTCCCCTTCTCCTCCTGCCTTCAACCTTTCGCAGCATCAGGGGCTTTTCAAATGAGTCAGCTCTTTGCATCAGGTGGCCAAAGTACTGGAGTTTAGCTTCAACATCAGTCCTTAATAAAAAGTTGAAAAAAAAGTGTTTGACATTGGTTATAGAATGATGAGTTATATAGTTCAGCAAATTCAGGAGAAAGGTTGACTTAGGTGTGAGAATCGTAAATCAGATTTTGTCTACTTACTTAGAAACTATGACATCTAAGATCTAAGACAATATGCATGGTTCTGTAGGTGATGCAGAGTAGCAACGCATCTTTCTTGTGTTCATTATTCTTAAAATATAGTGTGAGATATGAGAAATATATACATATAGCTATAAGAGTACATATAAGGCAAAATAATAAAGGGGCATACAGAAAATGGGCAAATTGTTGCTATTTGGTGTGGTGAATTAGAGTAGTCAAGGATAAATAAAGGATTTTGAACAAAAGTAAGTTGAAGAACGAAGGAGCCATTAATAAAAATGGACAGCTCAGTATGAGGAACTACTTTTTCCTAGGGAGATAAGGTAAACCTGTTGGAGTATATAAATACAAATATCTTGCAGATAATTAGATTGATTCTGGGTGTAGGGAAGAAAAGAGATTGAGATTTGGAGTTATCTGTGTACTTTTGTTATTTGATGATAGAGGATGTCCATAACAAAGCATTTTGAATTTCAGAATTGGGAAGGTTAAAAATAACAAAGACCAAGTGATAGCTGAAGACTTGCTTATCAGTAGTTGCTGATAGTTGATTGTCAGATTACTGATGGCTTTAGGGATTTCTGTAGGTGGAGAGTGGCAGGTGAGCTGTAGTAGTTTGAAGAATAATCCAGGAAGGAAAGTGGCTTCAGCAATCTTCAGTTTTAGAGGTAACTTCATGTTTGTAAGCATTTTATCCTTAATCATAGAAAAAAATTAAGATACAAGTGAGAGAACGATTGAGCAATGCCCTGGAGAAAGTAGTTGGTCAGGGAATAGAAGTAAATAAGGCCGTGGAAAGAAGATGGATGCTCAAAAGTAGAATAAAAGTCTCAAAATAATGCCATTTGCAGCAACATGGATGCAATTCGAGATTATCATACTAAGTGAAGTAAGTCAGAAAGAGAAAGACAGATATCATGTGATCTCACTTATAAGTGGAATCTAAAATATGGTACAAATGAACCTATCTACAAAACAGACTCACAGATATGAAGAACAGACTTGTGTTTGCCAAGGGATCGGGGGAGGGAAGGAAGAACTGGAAGTTTGGGATGAGCAAATGTAAAGTATTATATATAGGTTGGATAAACATGATCACACTGTTTAGTGGCACAGGGAACTATATTCAATATCCTGTGATAGGCCATAATGGAAAAGAATATAAAAAAGGAATGTCTGTGTGTAACTGAGTCACTTTGTTGCACAGTAGAGGTTGACACAACACTGGATCAACTATACTTTAATTAAAAAAAACTAATAAAATTTCAAACAGCACCACCAAAAAAGAGTAGAATAAAAGTGAGAGATGGTGGAGAGATTTTATATGGAGAGAAATGAAAGGTGAAGTATGTTAAATCAGTCACTGGTTTTCTGAAGAGCAGAGGCAAGACCACTTGCAGATAATGGAAATGGTAGCCTTGGCAATTTCAGAGATGGGCAATTGCTCTGGGTGACACAATAGTGAACAAAACATGTTATGAAGAGGTTGCAGAATACCCAGCGGAAGTTGTCTTTCTAAATGTTGTTATTTTTTAATTTTTTTTTTCTCTAGCTAAGAGTAGTTTATCTACTCTTAGATGAATGGGGTGGTTCATCCATTAGTAACACAGGAACAGTATCAAAAGAATGAACCATTTTGGGGTAGTAATGAACATATCATCACTATGAACAAAGCTAGTGGAAGTGATGGAATTTCAGTTGAGCTATTTCAAATCCTGAAAGATGATGCTGTGAAAGTGCTGCACTCAATATGTCAGCAAATTTGGAAAACTCAGCAGTGGCCACAGGACTGGAAAAGGTCAGTGTTCATTCCAATCCCAAAGAAAGGCAATACCAAAGAATGCTCAAACTACCGCACAATTGCACTCATCTCACACGCTAGTAAAGTAATGCTCAAAATTCTCCAAGCCACACTTCAGCAATACATGAACCGTGAACTTCCAGATGTTCAAGCTGGTTTTAGAAAAGGCAGAGGAACCAGAGATCAAATTGCCAACATCCACTGGATCATTGAAAAAGCAAGAGAGTTCCAGAAAAACACCTATTTCTGCTTTATTAACTATGCCAAAGCCTTTGACTGTGTGGATCACAATAAACTGGAAAATTCCAAAAGAGATGGGAATACCAGACCACCTGACCTGCCTCTTGAGAAACCTGTATGCAGGTCAGGAAGCAACAGTTAGAACTGGACATGGAACAACAGACTGCTTCCAAATAGGAAAAGGAGTAGGTCAAGCCTGTATATTGTCACCTGCTTATTTAACTTATATGCCGAGTACATCATGAGAAATGCTGGGCTGGAGGAAGCACAAGCCAGAATCAAGATTGCCGGGAGAAATATCAATAACCTCAGATATGCAGATGACACCACTGCTATGGCAGAAAGTGAAGAAGACCTAAAGAGCCTCTTGATGAAAATGAAAGAGGAGAGTGAAAAAGTTGGCTTGAAGCTCAACATTCAGAAAACTAAGATCATGGCATCTGATCCCATCACTTCATGGCAAATAGATGGGGAAACAGTGGCAACAGTGTCAGACTTAATTTTTCTGGGCTCCAAAATCACCACAGATGGTGATTGCAACCATGAAATTAAAAGACACTTACTCCTTGGAAGGAAAGTTATGAGCAACCTAGACAGCATATTAAAAAGCAGAGACATTACTTTGTCAACAAAGGTCCATCTAGTCAAGGCTATGGTTTTTCCAGTGGTCATGAATGGATGTGAGAGTTGGACTATAAAGAAAGCTGAGTGCAGAAGAATTGATGCTTTTGAACTGTGGTGTTGGAGAAGACTCTTGAGAGTCCCTTGGACTGCAAGGAGATCAGTTCTGAGTGTTCATTAGAAGGACTGATGTTGAAGTTGAAACTCCAGTACTTTGGCCACCTGATGCGAAGAGCTGACTCATTTGAAAAGTGCCTGATGCTGGCAAAGATTGAGGGCAGGAGGAAAAGGAGATGAAAGAGGATGAGATGGTTGGATGGCATCACCGACACAATGGACGTGATTTTGGGTGGACTACGGGAGTTGGTGATGGACAGGGAGGCCTGGTGTGCTGTGCTTCACGGGGTTGCAGAGTCGGACATGACTGAGCAACTGCACTGATCTGAACTGAACATATCATGAAAACAACTTGATACTCCCTACTTAGTAGGACAGTCGGTGAAGTTAGTTGGAGGGTGCCAGAGCAGGAATATAAGAGGGAGGTGAAATCATAAGAGTGGTGAAGATGGTTAGTGGCAATGAAGGAATGAGAGAGAAGGACAGAAGTTTGGCAGGATGGGAATTGCAGAGCAAGACATTTGCATTAACCAAGAGTTACGTGACTGTATGTGACAATAGTGGCCCTCACTGTTAGTGAAGCGTCTAGGCCTGTGGTTCTTAGCAAGGGTGCACCTGTGAGTGATCTTCAGAACCACAGAGATAATAATGTTAATTAAGTCAGGCATCTGTACCGTAGGCTGTGCTGATCAGTGTGGTTGTCACTTTTAAATACTTGAAATGTCTAAGTTGAGACTTGTTACAGGTATAAAATATACAATGGATTTTGAAGATTTAGTCTGAAAAGAATAATGTATTATAAAATAATGTCATTGTTTTTAAAAAACATTGATTTCACATTGACATAATATGCACATATGAATTAAATACATTAAGTAAATTAATTTCATGTGTCCCTTTATACTCTTCAAATGTAGCTACTAGAAAGTTGTATGAGCTGTTTGTATGTTTTGGATATTATCCAGTTGTTGGTTGCAAATGTTTTGTAGGTTGTCTTTTTGTTTTGTTTATGGTTTTCATGTGGTGCAAAAGCTTCTGAGTTTGATTAGATCCTGTTTGTTTGTTTTTGCTTTTATTTCTTTTGCCTTAGGAGAGCAATCTGAGAAAATATTGCTAGAATTTATGTCCGAGAATATTTTGCCTATGTTCTGTTCTACGAGTTTATGGTATCATATCTTATGTTTAGGTCTTTAAATCATTTTGAGTTCATTGTTATGCGTGGTGTAAGGGAGTGTTCTAATTTCACTGATTTGCATGTAGCTGTGCATCTTTCCAACACAACTTGCTGAAGAGACTGTCTTTTCTCCATTGTATATGCTTGCCTCCCATATCATAGGTTAATTGATCGTGCATGGGTGGGTTTATTTCTGGGCTCTCTGTTCTGTTCTATTGATCTACATGTCTGTTTTTGTGCCAATACCACAGTAAGTAAAGCATCCTTAAGTTATCTAGGACATGACTTATTTATTCACCTCTTTAAAGGAAATTACATGAATATACTCTGTATTCATTGCTTGAGAAATTGACATTGTCAATTTTTAAAAATTAATAAAGTTCCCCAGGATATTTGGTCATTCTCAGAAATAAAAGGAAATGAATTTGTGGTGCTTTCCCAGAAGATCGTCCTGGAATGTGCAATGTTAACTTCCCCCCTCTGCTGAACTCCCCTGTACCCTTGCTTTTTAAAAAGTACATGTGACTAGTTTGATTCTCTGAAGAAAATAATTTAAAAGCATGCTATTCTATATTTAAAAAAAATGCTATTCTATCTTTAACATTTGTTCTTTCCATAAACAGTATAAACATGCTCAATAGAGTAGTACTTTTTAAATAATGATTTATGTTTAAATAGGTTTTACACATTTGGGAAAACAAAGACTATGGATCAGCTCGGAGTATTGTTCGTATCATTGGGAAATTTCTTCCTTTAGAACCTTGTCCCAGGCCTAATTTCGAGGTAAGTCAGTCAACGTGTATTATTTAAGTACCATGTATAAAAATTTCTATAGGAAAATAGGGACATAGACTGGAACAGAAGAAGAAATGTTTCCTGCAAACCAAAAACCTGTAGCTTGTCTTGGAAACAAGTGATTTCACCTGTGTTTTTGTCTTTATTACTTTAAATAATTATATTCCAAGATTGGCAGATGTGAAGAAACCCAAGTCGTTTCTTTGATTCTTTTAGTCTGTGTTTTATGTTGGAGGACATTCCTTGGGGAGAGAATAGTGCCACACACTCAGACTTTAGAACTGGGTTTTCCTGAGTCCTTTTTCTTGCTAACAGGTGTATGGTTCTCTCTTGCATACCCTTTTTCCTTGCACACTTGTGAAATTTTCACACTTGTGGATTTTTGACTTATGTAAGTGGTTTCCGCAGGCGTGTGTCTCGCCCTGACTGCCCGCAGAGCTCTGACTGTCTTTTCCCTTTTTCCCTTTAGCTGGTTCCGCTCTTGAACTCTGTGGACCCGGCTCACTGTGGATCTGTAGTTCCGTCTTTTGCTGACGTTTGGTGTGTGGCAAATGATGAGGAAGCCAGTTATCTCAGATTTCGGTAATTTTTCTACATATCTTGCAAAAGTGGGGTGTGGGCTACAATCTGAATTCCTGCCCGTGTTGAAGTGTGTTCAGACTAAGTGAGCCTTTTCATTTATTTTGTCTATCTCTGTAGTACTCTGAGTCCTACTAATGTCTTCATGATAAGCATGACTGGTGTTTTTTCTCATTTTTGGCTTGTTTTTCTTAATGCACGTTTAAACCTAACCCAGGCCTACAAAGAAATGATATTATAAGGATTTGAAGATCACCACATTCATTTTTAGGAGAAAACTCTTTCCTGTATACTAAATATTGGATTTTTTTTTAAAAAATTATTTATTTCTGTCTACTCCAGGTCTTTGTTGCTTTATGTGGGCTTTCTCTAGTTATAGTGCAGCAGCTTCTAATTGTGGTAGCCTCTTGTTACAGAGCGTGGGCTTGGTGAATTGCATCTTGTGGGCCCTAGAGCACAGGCTTCGTAGTTGTGGTGCACAATCTTATTTGCCCCTCGGCAAGGGGAATCTTCCTGACCAGTGATAGAACTCGTGTTCCCTGCATTGGCAGGCGAATTCTTAACCACTGGATCACCAGGGAAGTCCAATACTAGATCTGTTTTGTTTTATATATTTAGCCAAAATTTATATAGTATTTACTATGTACCAGGTGATGATGTTAAATATATTTCATCATTTGAATGTTTTACTGCTTGGGAATACTAGTGTATTCAGATACAGGCTGTAAGTACAATAAAGGTCAGTTATTCAAAATTTCTGCTTAAATTTATTCTATGTAAAGCTGGTTTATAAATTTTCAAAAAATTAGAGCACTTACCCAATTTAACATGGAATCCTTTCATGCCTTATATTCCAAATATGTAGAATTTCTAAATAAATTAACTTTATTTCTAAATAAATCCATTTGTATTGTTTGATGTTAATAGGACAGTTATAGGATAATTATTTTTGGTTTACAGTTTGAAAGCAAGATGTGTCCCTTTATTCACTGATCACTTTTGGTCACCTGCTAAGGGCAACATTCTGTTCTGGGTATGGGGAATACAAAGCTGTGTAAGATACTGTTTGTCCTCAGTGAGTCTACAGACAGTTACAAAGTAAAGAGAGCTATTCTGATTTTGTTGTGGTGTCTTTGTTCTTTGACTGAAAGAAATTATTTCTCTTAGAAAATTTTCCCTCCCCCATCTCTCTCTTTCCATTTTTAACTTCATTCTACCCATAGAAATAGTACATGGAAAAATGAAGAAGAGGAGAAAATTGCATCTTTTCATCCTCTGCAACTAGTTGAAGGTCCATTGACACCTGCTTTAAGGCATAACAAACCAAGAGAAAATGATTGGCCTGAAAGTGAAACTGCAATTAAAAAAATAGCTGCCCTTGAAGATGAGCTAGCTTTTCTTCGCTCTCAGATTGCCACAATTGTGGGACGGCAAGAACTGGGGAACAGTACAGAAGCTGGTAAGTAACGCTGGGTTTTTGTTTTGGTTGGATGATATTCCTCTAGTGTTTAAGTCGGTGTGGTTCTAAGTAAGAAAAGAATGTTTGCTGCTAATGTATCTTCTGAATGATATGGAATATGAAGGGATGTTGCATGTGTGCGTGTGTGTATGTGTGTGTGTGTGTGTATGTATATATATATATAACACCACTGATGTTTATTAAGAATAAATTAAGATGCGTTTGTAGTGACCGGAATGGCTTTGGTTTAAAGAAGAGCTAGCTATGCTGCCAAAGATGGTAGTTTTATATTTAAAAGCCGATTTTCTAAGTGCCGTTGTCCCTCAGCATTTTGGTTCTAGGACCCCTGTGGCCACCAAAATCCAAGGATGCTTACGTCCCTTATATAAGATGGCATGGCATACTTGTATATAACCTGTCACAGCCTCCATCTTCCTCTATACTTTAAATCATCTCTCATTACTTATAATATCTAATAAAATGCAAAGCATTGTAAATATAATGGAATTGCTATGTAAATGGTTGTTAGTGCATGGCAGGTCAAGTTTGGCTTTTTGAAACCATTCTGGATTTTTTTTTTTTTTTAATATTTTCAATCAGCAGTTTTTTGAATCTACAGATGTAGAGGATATGGGTGAGGATATGGATGGACAACTATAAGCTTTTCTAAGTCTTTAGAAAAGTGTTGGAAATTTAAGCAGAGGGATGCATTAATTTGAGAGAAGAGTATAGGTTTGAGGTTCATATATTTGTCGTTTGAAGTTATTGCTGCTATACTTCTGTCAAATCTAGGTGAATACTGTTTTCTAGATGATTCTTTCTAAAAGTTTTAGAGATGTGACTTGCTTTAAATAAAATATACATACACACACCATATCTATATGCAAGTAGAAATGTCTATATAAACACACATATGATTTGTTTATAACCCATATTTATATAGTATTATAGATTTATAATTTATATGAAATACTATATAGTATATGTTACCATAGAATAAAAAATGAGATTATGTATACACTTTAAAAAGTAGTCATGTTACATATGATTTTAGGAGCAAATCTGTTGTGAAAAATTTAAGTATTTGGTACCCATCTTAGGCTTTTGCCTAGAAAATATGTGCCTGGGTGTTTACAGTATCATCATAGAGTGAATATATCAGTTCGTGTGTTTCTAGCCACAAGCTGTTGATTGTGTTTTAGTTTTTGTAAACTGAGGATGAAATTTAGATTGTAACTGAAAACATTTTTTACTTTCTCTTTGAAATGCATTCTCTTCCTTCCCCCTACACAAAGAATCCTAGTTGGCTTAAAAAGAAATCTACTATTTGCTTGACTGTCCCAAAAATTGCTAAGCAGATGGGGTTGATTCTCCTTCTTGGCCACCATGTCATTATTTTGATAGCATTACAGAAATTGTTCCTATTTTGATTCTAATTAGTGTTACCTGTTATGTCAGAGACAGTTTTGCATCATTTTTCAACAGACTAAATTTTCTCTAGGTTTCTTGGACTTGAATGACAGGCCTAGTGGTTTTGGACAAAAGCCATCATCAGGGGCTACTCAACTCAATGTCAAAGAAGACTCGTTTTCAAGTTCAGTGCTTCCTTCTTCTCTTCCTCCACCACCGCCTCCTCAGATATCTTCTGTACAGCATCCATGTTCTTCTCTCACAAAAATAGCATCTAATAATATTTGTGCATCAGATAATTCAACAACTGAAGGGAAAAATCTGCAACCAGATGCTAGGAAGAACAATTATAGTCATCATTCAAAACACCAGAAAAATGAAGATATTCCAAACATGTTGGATGTTCTAAAGGATATGAATAAGGTTAAACTACGTGCTATTGAAAGGTGTGTTGTCATAGTTTGCAAAATGAACCAAAATTTTATCAGTGGTGTTTAAAGAAATTATTTTATCAAAGTAAACATATATAAGTCTTCTCTTTGATTCTTCTTCACCCTAAATACTGCTCTCAGAGAGAATCATTTTCAAATTTTTGTGACTCTTCTAGTGTCTTATCTTCATATTTTTGAAACAACATTGTACTTTTGGTATTTTAGTTATATTTACTGGAATTGTTAAAAATCTGAAATACATTCTCTTAGACATTCTACCTCCTAACACACATGCACACATACACTTCTTCTTACATCTTCCCAATATGGTTGAGTCACAGCCTTAAATCCATGTTCAGAATTTATATCCTTATTATAATAGTAAACATTCCCAGGAAAGCCGTTTCATATACTACAATTACATTTCATTTGTTAACTAATTTTATTTTTTATGGCAGTTAACTCTTGCCTCTCTGAATTCCCCCCAGACCCCTGGGAATGCCCTCTTGGAGCCCTCTGTCCTTCTCTGATCTTACTTGTGGCTCTAAGCCTGCTGCACTGTTATCCTCAGGATTTCCTTTGTCATCATGGGCATCCTGTTTGTCCAGTGTTGCATCACCTGTTTCCTGGGTGTTCCATCTTCTGTAGCTTCCTGAGGAATGCATAAAAGCTAAATTATTTTAAGATCTTGTGTATCTGAAACTTTTTTTTTTATTCTCACACTTGCTAGTTTGGCTGGATATATAATTGGCAGAAAATCATTTTTCCTCAGAATTTTGAATACATTATCCCATTGGTTTCTAGCTCTCAGTGTTCCTGTTGCAAGGTTAATGTCATTTTAATTCCTGATACTATGTATGAAAGCTGTTTCCCTTATTCTTGAAGCATTTGGGATCTTCTCTTTGATCCTAATGTTCTCAAAATTCATGACAATGAGCCCTGGAGTGTTCTTTTAAAATTTCTCATGCTGAGCACTTATGGACTTAATCAGTTGACATTTATTTTTGAAAATTTCTTAAAATATTTTTCTGATACTTCTCCTATTTTTTTCCCTTTTCTTGAAACTCCTATTAGAAGTTTGAATGCCAGAATTATTTGTCTTATCTTCATATCTTTCCTCTACTGATTTCTTTCTCTTTGCTTTTTTATTATACTTTTAAAGAAAATCCTTTTCAATTCTTCTATGTGCTTTTCCTGTTGTCATTTTTTGAGGGGGAAGGCCACACAAATCTATATACCCTCAATGGTCCCCACTGCCACCTTTCACTTTAAGCCACCATTTTATATAATTTGGACTTTGGCAGTGACCTCTTAACTGGTCACTCCCTTTTCATTCTTGCCTCCTTGTCCGTTCTCCATATATGAATAATAACCAGAGTGATCTTTAAAAATTGAAGTCAGATCATGCCATTCACCTGCTGAAAATCCTTTGGTGGTTTTCACTGTGCTTAGAATGACATCTTGACACCTTGCTGTGGCCTGGATTCAGCCCTTGTGTCTCTGACATCCCATCCTACTTCCCTTCTTTCTTCACTGCACTCCAGTTGTACCTGTTTTCCCTTTCTAAAAGATGCCAGCCTCCTTTCTGATGCATCATTGGTTGTTTACAGTAAAACTGACTGCTTGTCATTTCCTTAACAGGCAAATCCTTTAAGAGACTTATCCTCATCATCTCATCGAAAGTGCTTTATCCCAGCCACTATCACATTTCCCTCTTTTAGTTATTTATTTTAAAAAATACTTATTTGGCTGCGCTGTCTTAGTTGCAGCATGCGAAATCTTAGTTGTAGCAATGGGATCTAGTTCCCTGACTGGGGCTCAAACCTGGGGCCCCTACATTGGGAGTGGGGAGTCTTAGCTACTGGACCAGCAGGGAAGTCCCTCCCTCTTTTATTTTATTAACAGCACTAATTGCTGCCCCAGATGTTCTTGTTTACTTGTTCACTGATGAACTCCTGCCCCTAGAGTGTTCCATGGGAGCAGGATTACCTCTCTACCCTCAAAGTGTAAAAATGGAGCCTGGCAAAATTCAGTCTCAGCATTGAGACTGAATGAGTGAACAAACAGCCTGATGTTTTTCTTTTCATGTACTCCGTAGTCCTTTTAAAAGTTATTAAATATTTCTTTAAACTTTTCTACCTACTGGAGAATTAGAAAATAAAAAAACAAAGATGATATTTGATAAATCCCAGGTTCTAGCAGATGGTGGTAGAGCCCCATATGGTTTCTCAGCTTTCTGATTCCTAATCCATATATTTGTTATCCTAAGGCAAAACATTCTAATCTATTGAAGACTGACTAGATTGTAGTACATTATGCTTATATTTCTGCTGTATAATGCTTATATTTTTGCTATGCTTGTCAAGGCTTATGTGCACAGTTGCTTCAGTTGTGTCCAACTCCTTGTGACCCCACGGACTGGGACCTGCTAGCTTCCTCTGTCCAAAAGATTCCCCAGAATTCAATCGGAGTGGGTTGCCATGCCCTCCTCAGGGAATCTTCCTGACCCAGGGATCGAACCTGTCTCTTACATCTCCTGCACAGGCAGGCGGGTTCTTTACCATGAGTGCCACCTGGGAAGCTCTTCAGTAAGGAACTTAATACACAAAGTTTCAAATTATTCCATTTTTTTAGGTCTCCTGGAGGCAGACCCATTCATAAAAGGAAAAGAGAAGACTCACCTTGGGATCCAGTGTCTCTAATATCCCATGCACTTAAGCAGAAATTTGCGTTCCAAGAAGATTCCTTTGAGAAAGAAGATAATTGTTGGGAGTCTTCTCCATTTTCTAGTCCAGAAACTTCAAGGGTGCGCTTATAATGTAAGGTTAAATTTTCAGTTTTTCTCATGCATATTGTTCATGATGTATCTTTACCTTCACATTCTTTTGAAGTAATTATGTGGACTGGGCCTTAAAATTGTTTGTTGATATGGTGTGCTGTTGATGTTCTGATTGTTTGAACTGACTTTCACTTACATGCTCATTTTAGCTTTTAGCATCCTATGATGTTTTTTGAGATAAAACATTTGATTTGGAAAATACTTATGCATAAGTTTATAATGGTTTATTCTGGACATGTGCTAACTTGACATTGCTGTCTGTCACTGTCACTGCCCAGTATGAACTGGGCGTCTGTAACTTTAAGAGGACCAGAAAGGAATGATGTAATAGATTCAACCTAACCATATTTAAATGTGAATACTCCCAGTATTTTTCCTGGTCACATGTAAAGACTGGATTATTTAGATAAATAGAATATTTATAATTGTGCTTAACAAAGCAAGTGAGATCATAATTATCTTCAATGACCATGCTCCCTGGACACTGAAAAAAATTCACAATATATTTCAACTCTTAACCCTGAAGATTGCTCCTTACTTGAAGCCTCTTTGCTTTACTTCAGATATAACCTTAATTTGGGGGGTGGTTTCCCATCTCATCGTTTCATTGAGGAAGTAAACAGGATTAAGCCATGGGAACAAGAGGGGAGTGAAAGAGGGACAGAGTCTAATGTCCAGTGGGTGTCACTGGCGTGGCAGAGGAGGGGCGGAAGCTGAAAAGCAGATGAATACTCAGCACAGCAGAGCAGAGGAGAGTTCTCCTGTCAGTTCTGGCAGAACTGAGGTCTCACTTTCCGTGTCCTCAGCCCTGAGTGCTGTGCCTGACACATAGCCCGCTCTCAAACAACCACTTACTATTACTGGACATGTGCTAACTTGACATTGCTGTCTGTCACTGTCACTGCCCAGTATGAACTGGGCGTCTGTAACTTTAAGAGGACCAGAAAGGAATGATGTAATAGATTCAACCTAACCATATTTAAATGTGAATACTCCCAGTATTTTTCCTGGTCACATGTAAAGACTGGATTATTTAGATAAATAGAATATTTATAATTGTGCTTAACAAAGCAAGTGAGATCATAATTATCTTCAATGACCATGCTCCCTGGACACTGAAAAAAATTCACAATATATTTCAACTCTTAACCCTGAAGATTGCTCCTTACTTGAAGCCTCTTTGCTTTACTTCAGATATAACCTTAATTTGGGGGGTGGTTTCCCATCTCATCGTTTCATTGAGGAAGTAAACAGGATTAAGCCATGGGAACAAGGGGGGAGTGAAAGAGGGACAGAATCTAACGTCCAGTGGGTGTCACTGGCGTGGCAGAGGAGGGGCGGAAGCCGAAAAGCAGATGAATACTCAGCGCAGCAGAGCAGAGGAGAGTTCTCCTGTCAGTTCTGGCAGAACTGAGGTCTCACTTTCCGTGTCCTCAGCCCTGAGTGCTGTGCCTGACACATAGCCCGCTCTCAAACAACCACTTACTATTGAATGAGTTGAGCTTCACAGGGTCATTTGGTGCTGTTCTGTTTTTTACATCAGAATAATGTATTAAACATTTGCTTTATTTCAGTTTGGACCCTGTCTTTCAAGTCAGAAGTATGTTGAACTAAAGGAAGAACCTACAAACCCAGCAGGTGTAGACCAAGCCATGAGCAACAGGGGCTGTGTCTACACCTCGAAGGCAGGACTGCAGAAGTATACCTACACGCCTGTGAAAGGATCGCGTCTCCTGTTAATGAATTTAAATGTAGTCCATACACTGGGGTATGTTAGTGCAAAGGTCTGAAGGATGCTGACCTGTGTCTGGTTTTTATAAGATCCAACAGTTAACGGGCTACTGATGATAGTCGGGTGTATGGATCTTTTTCATTTTTTCCCACATATGTTAAGTTTATTAAAGCTGAATAAATACTTTGAATGATTTTCCTAAGAGCTAAATAGTAAACGATTTAATGTTTCTCATTTGAGAACGGTAAGACCTCATTATAAGGTAACAGAAACCATTTAGTGGATTAAGAAAGTAATGTAAACTAAGTCTGTATTGTACTACACAGTCGATGATGGTACATTTGGGTTTTTAAAAAAGATTTCTTAAATCAGTTATGACTTGCTTATTTAAGCGTCTTTGACTCTTCTAAAGATTGGTAGTGGTGTGGTCTACTTGGCCTCCAGCAACTTGGAGATTTTCAAAGAATATAAACTTATAATTTTTTCACTAACTAAGAGAGTCATACCTTGAATCATAGACTGAACCCCCTAAAACCCTTGAGGTGATAAAGAATTATTCTTAAAGCTGATTTTGACTGTTAAATGCTCAATTGTAGAAGTATTTAAAGAATCTGCCTGATAAGTTTTGTCTACACTTGCTATGTAAATATGTACACCTGTCATTTTTTTCCCTTTGTTCTCTATTGTGCTCTGTTCCTTTGTAAGTAAATACACCTTTTTGAACTTGCTTGTGTTTTATAGCGCTTCAAATTCATGTTTTCTTCTCACTACATTTAGGAAGTCTAAACTTTTGGGGGGAAAGAGAGTTGTGTAGTTAGTTTCTTGGTCAGTATGATGAAACACTTAAGTTTGGAATAGGTGTTTTTTCCCTCTGCCGTTACACTAATGTGTGTGGGAATTTCCATTTTTCCCTAGAAACGGATCTTAGGTTCCATTTGGATGGACTCAGCACCCACCCATTTTGGAAGCTCTCTCCTTTTAAAAAAGCCCGGTTTGCTTACCGTTTTCATGGTATGGTGGTCGAGAGTCGGCTGCCTGGTTATCTCCATTTCCGAACCCTTTCACCTGGCACCTTCCAGTTAGGCCTGGCTATGCTGCATTCATCTTACGGCCATGAGGAATAGGCTTTGAGTCATAGAAATGTGAACCCTGACATCACCGAGCTGTTGAACTAACACCAGCAAAAGCCATCTCCAGACTTCTTATTACATGAGGAAGATGAAAAAGTATGCTGAGTGGGTTTTCTGTTATTTGCAGCCAAAAGCATTCATAGTGACACAGCAAGTATGTCCGTGTGGCTTTTGGACCCACCTGTTATTCCCTCTGAGTGGTCTTCTGACACTTCTCAGCAGTTTGTTCTTTCTGTTGTTCCCGCCCCTCCTAGACATTGTCCCCATTCTGCCTCTTCTCATCTTGTACTTGGAATTAGAGTCCCTCTTTCTCTGAAATAACTACTTTTTATCCCATAGGGCAGTCTNGTGTCCGACTCTTTACAACCCCATGGACGGTAGCCTGCCAGGCTCCTCCGTCCATGGAATTTTCCAGGCAAGAATACTGGAGTGGGTTGCCATTTCCTTCTCCAGGAGCTCTTCCCGACCCAGGGATTGAACCCAGGTCTCCCGCATTGTAGGCAAATGCTTTACAGTCTGAGCCACCGGGGAAGTCTGGCACACTCCAGTATTCTTTCCTGGAGAATTCCATGGACAGAGGAGCGGTGGGTTATACCGTGGGGTCGCAAAGGGTTGGACCAAGTGACTAACACCTCTATTTAGAAGGCTGACTTCCAATGTCCTGGAGAACACAAGTCCGTGCCCTGAAACTCCTCTTTGGGAGGCCTTTTGAGTGGCCTACACTTGGGCTGCTTGTGACTTAATGTCGACTGTAGTGTCTGTGAGGGTTTAGGCTTTCATCATGAATCTATATGTAAATTAATACCTAAGTGTTGTTTATAACATATTTTAAACTTGTCTAAACATATTGTCAATGTGGAAACTTTATCTTCCTGCAAGATATATAAACCAAAACTCATTTTCCTGACTCTACGACCTGAATCCTCACACTTGGTCTTAAAGAGTCCCTCCTCTCCCCTTTTCCTCATATGCCTTAAACGAAGTTGTATTCTCTTTCTTGATTGGCTGGTAGTTAATCCATATAGAAGAATTAAGGCATTTGACAAGGCATTCTAATACTATTTTATATTTGGCAAAAAATATTGGTTTTATAATATAGATTGCAGGGAGTTAATGCTGATCAAAATCTTGACTGGTTGGACAGGCAGATGATAGTAGAGATTGTCAAGGCAGGGAGGGGAGATGGGACCTCCTAGGAGGATCCTATTCCTAGGAGGATACATCAGCAACTGGAGGAGGCACTGGATTTGCAAATAGTGGCATGGGACTGTCATGGGTAGGGGTTACCAAAAGCCCTTGTTTTTACAATGAGAATGCAATTGTGCTTTGATTATGAAATTTATATAAAAATTGGGTTGGGAGACAAGGCAATCATGCAAGTGTGAGATTTTTATATCAAAAGAGGGCTATTGGGGGACTTCCCTGGTGGTCCAGTGGTTAAGAATCTGGCTTGCAGTGCAGGAGACGTGGTTTGATCCTTGTTCAGGGAACTGAGGTCCCACATGCTGAGGGGCAACTAAACCCACACACTGCAGCTGCTGGGCCTGACAGCTCTAGAGCTCATGTGACAACTAGAGAGTCCATGCGCTGCAACGAAAGATCCTGCATGATGCAACAAAGATCTCTTGTGCTGCGGCTGAGACCTAATGCAGTCAAATAAATTTTAAAAAGAGGGCTATTGGGACTTCCCTGGTGGTTCAGTGGTTAAGAATTTGCTCTTTCATTGCAGGAGGCTCCAGTTCAAGGCCTGGTCCGGGGACTAAGATAACACAGGCTGCATGGTGAAGCCAAAACATACAAAAAATAAGTTCATAATAATAAAAAATCAAAAACAAAACCAAAAAAGGGCTATTGCAGGTTGGGTCATCTGGGAGGCAGACTGTGAGGGATTAATGTGAGGAAATCTATCTGACTGTGTTCTCAGGAACATACTCCCACTAGGGAAGAAAGCAGGATTGGGTGAGGCAGAAGCTGGGCTGAAATGTAGCCTCAGCAAGGGCCTCAGAGCACTCCAGAGGGAGCTCTGATGCTGGAGTAGCCGTATGGGGCAGTCTCCCTACGTGGTGCTTGTGGTCAGTACAGGAGACACAGGAGACGTGGGTTCGATCCCTGGGTTGTGTTGGGAAGATCCCCTGGAGGAGGGCATGGCTACCCGTTCCAGTATTCTTGCCTGGAGAATCCCATGGACAGGGGAGCCTGGTCAGACATGACTGAAGCGACTCAAAGAGTCCATGCGCTGCAACGAAAGATCCTGCATGATGCAACAAAGATCTCTTGTGCTGCGGCTAAGACCTAGTGCAGTCAAATAAATTAAAAAAAGAGGGCTATTGGGACTTCCCTGGTGGTCCAGTGGTTAAAAATTTGCTCTTTCATTGCAGGAGGCTCCAGTTCAAGGCCTGGTCAAGGGACTAAGATAACACAGGCTGCATGGTGAAGCCAAGACATACAAAAAATAGATTCATAATAATAATAAAAAATCAAAAACAAAACCAAAAAAGGGCTATTGCAGGTTGGGTCATCTGGGAGGCAGACTGTGAGATAGGGATTAATGTGAGGAAATCTATCTGACTGTGTTCTCAGGAACATACTCCCAACTAGGGAAGAAAGCAGGATTGGGTGAGGCAGAAGCTGGGCTGAAATGTAGCCTCAGCAAGGGCCTCAGAGCACTCCAGAGGGAGCTCTGAAGCTGGAGTAGCCGTATGGGGCAGTCTCCCTACGTGGTGCTTGTGGTCAGTACAGGAGACACAGGAGACGTGGGTTCGATCCCTGGGTTGTGTTGGGAAGATCCCCTGGAGGAGGGCATGGCTACCCGTTCCAGTATTCTTGCCTGGAGAATCCCATGGACAGAGGAGCCTGGTCAGACATGACTGAAGCGACTTAACGCACGTGCTTGTAGTCTGCCATTGCTCTGAGGGTGCCAGGTCTTTACGTCTTCACATTAACCGCACACTGATGAGTGCGGCATGACCTTGAGCAAAGCATCCTTCTTCAACCAAGGCCATTCCCACAGAGGTTTGTCATAGTGGTGCATCACAGTCCATTAGCAGACTAGTCATCCACAGAAGACACGGGCTCCAAAAATGTTGTAGGGTCCAGCCTGCCTTCCACTGCCATGAGCCTTTGAGTTTTATTGACTGTCCAGAATTCCCAGTACCCATTACCCTGTCCTCCTACTTATTTTCCTGAAAATGTTTGCATTTTAAAAACTGGTGTTGAGAATGCTTTTCTGTCTCCAAATATCCCCCTTCGAACCTACTCTGCTCCCCTCAGTTCCCGTGTAGGTAACTTTTGGTTGGTCTTTCACAGCTTTGCCCTTTTCTTTTCATGGAAATAACTAGTTTTCAAGGACTCAGAAACATTAAAGTTATCTCATTGTGTGGCTTTGGGAACCAATGGAAGAAGTGCTGGAAATGTGCTGGGAGAACTGTGTTATTACCTCTTGGGCCCCGAGCTCCTTGACTATAAAATGAAGCAGGACATGCCCTGGGGTCTGATGTATGATATTAACATCCTCTGACTTACTTGGCTCAGGTGAAAAGAGACATAAGCATAGCTCAGTTTGGTTAATCATAACTCAATTGGGCTTCCCTGATAGCTCAGCTGGTAAAGAATCCGCCTGCAATGCAGGAGACCCCGGTTCAATTCCTGGGTCGGGAGGATCCCCTGGAGAAGGNTGGGGAAATGGTCTCCGGGTCCCTGAGAACGTCTGTTACACTGCACTTGGGAGTGGGCTGTGATTTACCATTCAGATGAGAGCGAATATCTCTCATTTTGAATGGCATTGATCTATCAGCTTCTGTTCCTTGTGCTTAACAAATATTGACTCTAACCCTTATAACAAGACAAGGTACTATTGTTTTCCTCATTTCACAGATAGGACCTAGACGTGGGGAGCCGAATGAACTCCCCCAGATTTCTATTGCTGGTAGGTGGCCAAATGGGATTTGAACGCAGGCAGATGGGTTTGCAAACACACACACACACATACACATATATACATGCTTTTATAAGATACATACTTTTAACCCCTGGGAAGCATTGTCCATCCTGTAAATTTGTTTACTTATTTGTTTACACTTTGCCTTTTCCCTGAAAGTATTTAAGGCAGTTTACAAGGATGTATAAAACTTGGCAGAAAAACTTGAAAGGGAAAGAAGTTCAGACTGCAGTTTTCTCTATTTGCCACAAGAGGGAAGTGTAGTATTAGAGAGCACCTGCGTGCAACCCAAGTCGCTCCAGTTCTGTCCGACTCTGCGACCCCATGGACTATAGTCCACCAGGCTCCTCTGTCCAGGGGATTCTCCAGGCAAGAACACTGGAGCGTGTTGCCATCCCCTTCCCCAGGGGATCTTCCCGACCCAGGGATCGAACTCACGTCTCTTGTGTCTCTTACATTGGCAGGGAGTTCTTTACCACTAGAACCACCTGGAAGCTACCAGCTAGTTATACCACTTGAATGTCAAATCTTTAGAAGTCATAAAGTAGAGTCAGATTTTCATAACTTGCATAAACAGCTTACTTTGAAGCATAATCATGAATTACAAATGACCATGGCTTTTATCAACCTGAGATTTATCATCAAACTAATTCA